TTACCATAATTATCACCATCTCATTCATCATCAATATTTTTTTTTTTTTTATTAGTTTCAGTATTAATATTGGGATCAGTCTGAACATTGTCTGTTTCGTTATTTTACTTGTATTATGTTGTTTTACTCTGTCAGACGACTTTCCTATATCAGTTAGAACTTTTCTTCTGCTGAGGATGCTATGTAAGTAAAAATTTGGCTGTGATAACCTAGGATAACTCCCCCCAATTATATGTAAATTGTGTTACAGATTGATATTAATTGGACATTTTGCTAATACAACATTTTTCATTAATGTAAATTTATGCATCCCATTTTGATTTTTTGTTAGTTTTTATTAATTACTTTACTTAGACTATTAAGCTTATGCATTATCCTTGTTCATTATCTAATAAAAGCTACAACTAATTATTGCCTTTTGCTGATTAAAAGAAAAGAATTATAGGTTTTATGTCAAGGGGTGTGTGTCGCTTAAACAGTTATTTAGGAATTGTAAAGAAAAAATCAAGAGTCATATCTTTTTAGCCATCATACTTTTGTAACTATATAATTGGTTGATATATAGTTATCTCTTTAAATTCTGTTAGATTTACACATTGACAAGTACCCATGCATGCATGATGCTATTGTGCATTCCCCCCTCCCCCAGCACACACATATGTACATATGTATGCACATGTATACACACTCACACTCACACATTCATACTCAGACACACACACTCACACTCACACTCACACTCACACTCACACTCATACTCAAACATTCATACTCAGACACACACACTCACACTCACACACGCACAACAATAAGAATGTTTATTATCTAACTACCTTTGTAGTGCTGCTTTCATGTCACTTATCTGCAAATATTCAAAATGCACTGTTTGTGAACTAAGAAAAAAATCAAATGCTTTTGGCTGAAAGGCTTCTTGTTATTTTTTATGATTAAAAAGAAAGAAAGAAAAAAAAGTGTGAATTTTCTGTAACCATTTAAAGTGAATTAACAACATTATACATCTACAGCCTTGAACATACTCAACATTTCTGCATATTTAGCTTTTGACAAATGACACTTGATTTTATACTTGAAATTATACATAAGACTGCATACATTTTTTTTTTTTCATCTTAAGCTTCTTCCTATCTTATCTTCCTTTTCTTTTTCTCCTTCTTGATCTGATAAAATTTTGCTTATTGATATTCATACTTCTGTCAGATCTTGGTCGGAGGGGTGATAACCCTGACAAGTTCGGTGGTGGCCATCGTGTACATCATTGGCCTGCCGTACTATTGGAACAAATCGCCTGTGCTGACCAGCTTCCTCATGGTCCTGGGCCACTGGCTACTGATCAACGTGGCCTTCCATTTTTACATGGCTGCGAGGACGGACCCAGGAACGCCCCCAAAGGTTAGGCTACTGGGGATTGAGCAAGCCATGTCGACATAAATTGATTCTGTTTCTTTGATGATTCCTGAGTGAGAAAATACTGTTAATTGCATTCTACTTCTTGTTCTTGTTTTTTGTCTTCTTTCTCTTTCTCTTTCTCTATTTCTCATTCTCATTCTCTTGCTTTTTTAATTTATTTTTTTAAGTTAATCCCTCTGATTCTTGGTTTTCTCTCACTCCAGGGTATCCTAATCAGCGAGGCCGTTAGTGTCTGCAAAAAATGCATAGCCCCTAAACCTCCCCGGACTCATCACTGTTCTGTGTGCAACCGCTGCATACTCAAGATGGATCATCATTGTCGTATCCTTTTGTTTTTGCACCCAGTTTCATTTTGTCTGTGTGTAGTGAGGCTGAGGTAGTTTTTGTGACAAATTTTAGCTTTGCTTATCTCAGCTTTACAAATAGAAGCTTGTGTTCTTACATTAAAGTGCTCTTATAATTTTTTTTTTAGAAAGTATGAATGTTGGTTTAGACTTCAGTTGATGATGCTGAATGTGTTCTCTTCCAGGAAACAAAAGAAAAATCAGAGTTGTATTGTTTCAGCTAATTGTATCGTTAACGTAATTACTGTCACTTCCTTAACCAACTGCACCCCTTATAGCTTGGCTCAACAACTGTGTGGGCCACTACAATCACCGCTACTTCTTCATGTACATGGTCTACATGACTCTTGGAACCATATTCATCATGAGTCTGGGCTTCGAGATCGCCTTCAAGGAGATCTGGCTCGGGGGGGAGATGGGTGCGGGACTGAGCCATGCGCTAGAGTACATGGAAGGGAAATTTGATTCGCACGAAGAGGAGGACCTGGAAGGATACCCAGCCAATGTCAATGGGACGCACATGATTCCCGTGGTAAGTGGTCCTTTGTGGTACATTTCCGTGAGGCTCGTTCTCATGTGGGATAAAAGTCTACTGGGATAATTTCTGATGTTGATTTTTTCCTGATATAGAATGGCTCTTTAATTACCAATTATTTCTATTAGTGTGAGGGCACTGGAGCCATGAACAATGCCTTTTTTTATTTATTTTTTCTTGTTTTTGTCTTCTT